GCATATTGCCCCCAACAATCTGGGTCCTCATTTTACCCACCTCGGAAGGATGGAAGGCTGAGTCAACCCTGAGCCGGTGAGATTTGAACGGCTGACCTGCTGATCTAGCAGTAGCCTGCAGTGCTGCATTTAACCACTGCGCCACCTTGGCTCTAATATATGCAACTTAACAACTTAAACGGGAGGGGAAAACATACAAGTACAAAATACACATATTAAAAATGACCAACAACCACACCTGTCGAGAGGGGAGGGGAGCTCATCAGCGCCAGGCCTGCCGACACAGCCAGGTTTTAACAGCTTTTCGGAAAGCAGGGAGAGAGGTGAGGGTCCGAACCTCCGCGGGGAGTTCGTTCCAGCAAGGAAGAAAAATTACACTCAGCAGATTCTTTAACTCCATGTTGTCCTCACTTCATGATCATAATTGGGACCGGCACCTCTGTTCCTAAGTAGTGCAGTAGTTAAGCAAGACATCATATGACAGGGACTTGCAATTTTACTGCCAGGTTCTCCCTTGACTCTGCTTGTCAGAAGCTGGCTGTAAAGCACACAAATTGTGATCATTTTGTCACATTATGTTGTGGTGGTCATAAATGCCTGCCAGTTGCAAAGCTCCTAAATCATGATCACATGACTACAAGGATGATGCAAGAGTCGTAAATGTAAGGATCAGTCATAAGTTTACTTTTCAGTGCTATTGCAATTTCAAATGGCTTCTGAACAGTTGTTAGGCAAGAAAGACCTGAAATGTTGAAATAGCTCATTTCTAAAGCTTCTGTTGTATGTTCAGCATATGAAGGTCATGACACCCTGTCTCATCTCTCCATGCATGAATTTTATATATAATAGTTGTTTGAAAAGAGTATCATGTTGACTTGGGAGAAAACTTCACAGTTGTCTTGATACCCCCTTCTTCAAAAAAAAAAATCAAAATGTTATTCATACTACATTTAACATATGCCTGTCAATAACAAAACTAAACTTTCCAGCTGGAAAGCTGGCAGCCCAGGTTCAAGACTGAAGTGCTACATGACAGTCTGAGCTCTTTTGCCGCTGGGTGGTCCAAACGGACCTAAACCATCCGGCAGAGACAGTGAGTGGGAAGAATACATCCTGCTGATCTCAGGGACATCGCAAAGTCTCTGATCAATCCAGGATAAGTTCTTCTAACTGGTGACCTTCTTGCGGTTCATGATGGGGCTGGAGCATAATGGCTCTTCAGCTTGCCTATCAATTCGTTCCATGGCACCAACTGTACAAGCTGAGGCGCAGAGAGAGCTATGGCCATACCGAACATCTCTGGGCCGCAAGAGCTTAAAAAGCATGATTGTTTGCGGCTGCTGAACAGGTCAGTTAGATCAAGAAACAGTACTTGAATTGGAGGTACACGTCCCAAGACTCAGTTGCCGGACAGAAGGCTGCAAAAGTAGCTAGGGTAGACATCCTGAAAAGGACGGACAGCTCCAAATTACCCCTGGCAAAAGGCAACATTCCTTTCGAACGTGTTCAGCTCTGATTTTCCTAGTGACTTAGGTGATCCAATTCCTCCATGCGTGAATCCCATCCTCGTTGCCAGTGTTCTGAAGGGAGACCTGGAGGGACAGGACTGAAGCAATACAGATTGCAATTCCAACAGGTATATTAACAGCTAACAGTAAACCAACAGCTCTGAACCGGCAACAGGGAAAGCTTCCATCTAACAGCTATTTATATGCACACTGTCAGATGGGGCAACCAATCGGGACGCTCCATTCTCCTGCTCTGGCTGTCAAACCTCCAGCCAATCAGGGACGATCTTCCATTGGCACGTTAGCGAAGCCACTGACATAACATGCACAAATATATAAACAAGGATGGAATTTCTGATGTGTAATATGGATATGGGAGCATTTGTGTAAGGCCACCAACAGAAAGAGAGAAACAGTATTATATATCTCCTTCTATTAACCTTTTATTTCACAAAAGCTTATTTTCATAAGTTTTAAACAAGCTCCTCACAGTGGAGTAATCCATGACTTTTCCAAAATGTTTTTTTTAAGAAATAAGGAAT